TGTTGTTGTTGTTGTTGTTGTTGTTGTTTGGCTCTCTCCATCACCACATCCCTCATGTGCTTGCTCCCTCTTTCGTGACATTTTGGTTGCCATAAGAAAGAGATGGTTCAGTTGTAGATTCAAAATATGGGTGGGAGTCGCTTCCTAACCAAAGGAGTATTTTGTAGGGAATGTTGGGGCACTGAAACGCAAATGAAAGATGGCTCCAAGGTTTGTCCGGGTTCACAGGCCTTGGGAGGATCTTCAACATCTCCACCTCCCATCCTGTCCCAGGAATTCTGGGAGCTTGTTGCCTCCTCACCCCTCCCCAAAAAGGACTTTTCTAGGCTTTTGAGTCCATATTTAGCCAGCCTAGCCCTCTGGCCACTTAGCACCTCATGCAGGCAGGGGGAAGAGATGGCCCTTCAGAACCTGGTAAGCTCAGTTCTCACTTCACCCCAGCCAGCATAGCCAGTGGTTGGTGACAGGATAAGAAACTAGGTCAGTTCAGCGTTCTCCTGTATTCAGAATTTTTTAAAAAATATCAAAGTCCTCTATTTTCTCAGGAAGAAGCCTTTGGGAATGTTAATAACTTCATTAAAAAAAAAGAATTAGTAGTCTTCCCCATTTAGTGCTGGTACAGCTATTTCTAGCCTGGAGAAGACCATGATGTACAGTACTATCTGTTTTGATGTGTTGTTCCTACATTCCTTGAAGCTGCCTCCAGTTTCTTGCAAGCCTATGAATGAGCAATCTTCAACATGCCCTGCCCAGCTCTTGTAAACTCAAGGCCTGTCTTTATTGAGTCAATCCATCCTGTATTTGGTCCTCTTTTCCTGCTGCCTTCAACTTTTCCTAGCAGTTTTGCTACAGAGAAGCCTGTCTCTTCAGGCTCAGGGATCATCACAACTTGATTCAAACAACAAGAATGCTATAAATTACCTACTTCTGGTCTAAAGTGACCTAATAGGAATCCATTAAATTCTTGGGCAAACAAGCACTTATTTCAAGTAAACAAGCAAAGGAAGAGAAGAAAGATGTGGAAATTTTTTTTTTTTTGTACTAAAACTTGCAGAATAAGCACTGGGTTGGTTGAAGTATTCTGGGGGATGTAGTTAAAAAAGAGATTGGGGGGGATCTTTATTATATCTCGACAAACAAACAGCCAGCTGAGCAGGGATACCTGGCTTTGCTCCTGCCCCATGTTCCAAGGCAGCCATGTTGTGCAGCAGGGTCCGCAGACTGTCTTCCGTGACATACAGCAGGATGTTCTCAGGTTTGATGTCCGCATGGATGATGCGACATTCCTTGTGTAGGAAACTTAAGCCTTGGAGCACCTGCATGGATTGGAGTGTGATATGCTGTCAATGGCTCAAGATCCAGGCCCAGGGGATGCGGTGGGGCCCTTCAGTCAGCTCTGGCCAAAATAACATGCTCCAGAAAAACTGGACAGGATCCACAGAGACATCTGTCACAGCACACCATGTCAAGCCCTACTGCAGTTCAAAACGATGCCCAGTCCAATTCTGTTTTGCTCCAGTTTTTACAGATACCATACAGTTTCAGGGGGTACAGGACCACCCCCCTATTTCCAAAACCGTTGTCTGCTCCTCCCTTCCTCACCACCACCCTGCACCTCTCCCTTGACTGCCTTTCTGTTATTCCGACCACCTTCCCAGGTGCACATGGTGGGGACACAGGAGAGGTCTCTGTCACTGCTCCAAGCCTCTGGAACTCCCTCCCACAGGAATCCAGGCTGGCCCCCATCTTTACTGTCTTTCTGCAACCAGGTGAAAACAGGCAGGCTTTCCCTCAGTGAGTGAGTGGCTCTCTGAGAGGGGCTTTTAAATGGACTATTGTGCCTTGTTGTTTTGAATCTGATTTTGGTGTTGATTTTTGTTTACCTTTTTAAGAGCGATATTTGTTTCTTTTTTTAATGTTTATATACTTACTGGTTTGTTTGTTTGTTTTAAATATAGACTTTTAATTATGTAAGCTGCCTTGAGTCCTCTTTAAGGAGAAAGGCTGGATAAAAAATTATTTGAAATAAATAAATAATAAATGTCTTTGATTTCTCTTTTGTATCTCTTGTTCGTACATGGGGATGTGTCAATCCAGTTTTTAAAAACTTGTACTTACACTCCCACCTCCAAAGGGTGAGAGCAGGTTCTCAGTTTCCCTGGGCCTGGCTAAAAGTCTCAGGGAATTGCTGTGCCTCTCCTGGTCTTCAGGCAAGAAGAGAAATCTCAGGATATGCAATACTGAAAGATGAGAAATGTTGATTTCCTTTTCGGGAGATCACTTTAAAGCCTGTTAACCTCCCCTTCCCCAAGGGAAGGTACCTGGATACCTTTTGTGCCGGCTTCCACCTTCCTCACCACCACCCTGCACCTCGCCCTTGACTGCCTTTCTGTTATTCCTACCACCTTCCCAGGTGCACATGGTGGAGACACAGGAGAGGGCCTTCTCTGTCACTGCTCCAAGCCTCTGGAACTCCCTCCCACAGGAATCCAGGCTGGCCCCCATCTTTACTGTCTTTCTGCAACCAGGTGAAAACAGGCAGGCTTTCCCTCAGTGAGTGAGTGGCTCTCTGAGAGGGGCTTTTAAATGGACTATTGTGCCTTGTTGTTTTGAATCTGGTTTTGGTGTTGATTTTTGTTTACCTTTTTAAGAGTGATATTTGTTTGATTCTTTTTTTAATGTTTGTATACTTACTGGTTTGTTTTAATTATGTAAGCTGCCTTGAGTCCTCTTTACGGAGAAAGGCTGGATAAATAATTATTTGAAATAAATAAATAATAAATGTCTTTGATTTCTCTTTTGTATCTCTTGTTCGTACATGGGGATGTGTCAATCCAGTTTTTAAAAACTTGTACTTACACTCCCACCTCCAAAGGGTGAGAGCAGGTTCTCAGTTTCCCTGGGCCTGGCTAAAAGTCTCAGGGAATTGCTGTGCCTCTCCTGGTCTTCAGGCAAGAAGAGAAATCTCAGGATATGCAATACTGAAAGATGAGAAATGTTGATTTCCTTTTTGGGAGATCACTTTAAAGCCTGTTAACCTCCCCTTCCCCAAGGGAAGGTACCTGGATACCTTTTGTGCCGGCTTCCACGATCAGCAAACTCTTTTCGGCCCTGTCCGCAATATCTCTGTGATGTCGCAAGGCACCAGCCCTCATGACAAGTGCTCAGGTTTTGAATCTCAGGAAACAGGAAGTTGCTGACCGTGGCACTTTCTACAAAGGTGGGCCTCGACCATGGATCTGCCCCACCCCCAACAAACATCATCTTCAATACTCCAGATAATGTTGTTGAGCCCCTTTACCCTCTTCTGAAGTGATTTTACTCACCTGCTGAGTGGCTCTCTTCACGAAAGGTAACGGGAGGCCATGGGCTCCTCGGCTGCTTAGCAGAGACTGCAGTGAAGGGCCCAGCAACTCAAACACTAAGCACACATGTAGGGAGAAGTCAAGGATCCACTAACAGAGAAACTTCCTTGCCTTGTTTTCACTCACACAACCATTCCTTGGGGTTTCAGTGGGGCTAGGAAGAGGAAGGGGCTTTTGAAAAACCCAGTCCTTTTCCTGATAACAAGACGTTTAGGACTGGGAGTTGTAGTCCAAAACGTTTCCAAGCTTGGCCAGAACCAAAGGAGTCCCTTAGCTGGACTCCAGCTGCTTACTGCCCAATACAAGGCAGCACATTTTTAATGGAGCTTCATTTCAACACTAGGTGGAGGGTGGGGGAGAGTCTCCCAAAGTGGGGACAGATTCCCTCTTCCCCAGCGGTCTGAGGTCCAGATGATCTAAGAGGACACAGACACAGCCCTGACCTCATCAGGGGTCCAGCCAAAATGTGGAGTGGAACTTTTCCACCCAATTCTTCAGTGGGAAATCTTGCTTTTTCTCTTCCTTCCCCTTTCTTTTCCTCCACACTGGGAAAAGAAGAGGAACGAAGCACCTTTAGCCAGCAGGGAGACCCAGCTGAGAGCTGTGAAGAAAGGAAGAGCCTTGTAGTTATTGCCGATCACTGACTGGAGATAACAGTGAGGTTCCCCTCCTTGCGTCCTTTGCCTACAAGAAGGGTGTGTAACCTCCAGAGTCTGGATTCCACCCCTCTGAAACTAGGTCTCTCACGCTAAACAGGGTGGGGTAAGTTTCTTTTCTGGAGTACAGTTTCCTGAAAACTCGATGGCCTTTTGAAATCATCCAAGAAGTGGATGATGTGATTGCTGGCTCCGTTCTTCCTCCGCTTGCTGTTCACCTGCCAAACAAGGAAGAAGAAAAGGACCTGCAAATTATACATTTTAAGGAGAGGGTATGTTCACCTCAGCACCACCTGTTGGTTTTGTGGTTAGAAGAAATGCCCAACTGTATTGTACTGGAATTGTCGCACTAATGAGGGAATTGCAGCTTGGTTTGTGTGAAGATGGGTGTCCTCACTAGGCAAGTTGCTGATTCCATATTTAGAAAGAGTGTTCCTTGAAGAGAAGAATGCTATCAGACTACTACCTCTATACCAACATGAAGTTGCCTCAATTCATACTTGCCAAATTGGCTTGTATTTTTTTCCCAGTTGATAAACTGAGAGACATGTTTGCATGTCTGTTGTCTCAGGTATTTAGCACTGGAGGAATGTATGTCTGAAGGGATAAAGAGGAATTTGTCTTCTCATGTGATTTGATGCAGATGTTTCTGGGAGAAGGGATAATTTCAGAGTTACATACACAGCGAAGGAGCATGACTTCATCCAGGGCTGCTTCAGAAAAATCCTCTCCTCCCTTGGGTATTTTGACAGCCACACATCTCTTCTTTCTGAAAAAAAATATATTATTTATGTCATTTATTTAAATATGTATTTATACCCCGCCTTCCTCCTAAGGACCCAGAGCAGATTCCATCATTAAAAAGACAATATTAAAGCTAAAAACAGTGAATTATTCAAACAAATTAAGCAAATTAATAACATCATATTAAAAATGTTAGGTAAAGTATTACTAAAACAGATTTAGAAACAACAAAATACAAACTGTCTAGTTTTAAAACCTCTCCTAAGTCTGTCTCTGAGGGAAAGCCTGCCTGAAGAGAAAGCTCTTTAGATGCTGTTGAACTACCTGTGATTACCCCTAACGACTGACTAGGCTGATTAAGGCTGATGGGAGTTGTGATCCAGCAGCATTTGGAGGCCAAAAATTCGCCAACCATGTTAATGTTTCATTATTTTATTCCACTGTGTGTACCTGTACTGTATTTAAAGAAAAGCAGTATGTAAATATAATCAATAGACTCCTTAGTTAATTAAGTAGTACTTGCTAGGGTTCTCAACAATTTTGTATTTTTCTTAACTGATGCTTCTGAGATGGATTAAGTTTCCTCATCAGTCTATGGAAACTTACCTGGATGTCCTTGAGATAATCTTTCTTTCTTTCTTTCTTTCTTTCTTTCTTTCTTTCTTTCTTTCTTTCTTTCTTTCTTTCTTTCTTTCTTTCTTTCTTTCTTTCTTTCTTTCTTTCTTTCTTTCTTTCTTCCTTCCTTCCTTCCTTCCTTCCTTCCTTCCTTCACTTCATTCCTCCTTCATTCCTTCATTCTGTCCCATAAGGGCATAGCACTATTCTGTAAGCCGCCCAGGGACCTGGGCAGCCTAGAAGTTAAATATAACTTACATGTGAGCAGCATATAAGTTAAATATGAATGAATGAATGAATGAATGAATGAATGAATGAATGAATGAATGAATGAATGAATAAATAAATAAATAAATAAATAAATAAATAAATAAATAAATAT